CATCCCTCTAGCTTTGATACATCAGGAGCACAACATAAAAAATGGTGACAGATCACAGGGCCTTGCTTGGTATGTGCATCTCTCACTACTAACAGTGTATCAGCTATGCCAACATTGTAGAAATGCACAATACTTTCTTATCTGCAAGTGATCCCTTCACAGCTGCAAGTGTACCCAATGTTCTGTGTGTGCTGTAATTTACAATGGAGTCCGTCTTTTCTGTAATAGAAAAATGAACAACTGTATAGCTCTGACAGACAACTCCTTCAATCTACAGTCATCCAGAAATTTTGCTTGCTGTTTCTTTCCTGAGGGGTTACTTATGTGGCTAATCAAATACCTGTCAGTTGTGATGTTGGATGGGTTTTCTTTGGTGTGTTCAAGCACATTCCTGCATGGGTATTATGAGTCTGCTTTTGGTAAAAGAGAGATATTATTTGAAAATGAGATTTCTTTCAGGAACCTTATACTTGATACTAACAGGTAAAATTGCTCAAGCACAAAAAGCTAAAAACTTACAGTAATACTCTAAAATTTTCACTTTTAAAATTTGTTCACTGACAGCAGTGTTATAGTCCGTTTCTATTCTGTAGTTAATTTTCTTATTACTGCTATGCAATCAGAAGTGAGAAAATTACTTTTTCTGTTTATGTGAAAAATACAATCACTAATATTCAATTTCTCGGAGTTTTTTCCCCCCTCATATTACAACTTACTTGGTAGTTTTTTGGGGGTATTTGTTTGTTTGTTTAGGGAACATACTGAATTTTACATTTATATAGGTGTAAACCAAGAAAGCTATTCCTTTTTTAGGGGGCCAATGAGGGAAAAACTTTCCATGTGTCTCATTTCCATGTACTATTAGCAACACTGTAGGGATAGGGATGGAGAAATTCCCAGTGCAGACTGAAATACAGTAAGATCGAATATTGTGTATGTCTTCCATATAGTATGGTCCACGTGCTCTGAGTAAGAAGTACGCTACAATCACATGCATTGTGTATTATGAGGAAATAAAGAGGGAAAAAAATTCATAAGCATTACTTCTTACAAACAATGTCTTCTTTTGATTTACAGTCACTAAAAATTATTTAACTTAAAACCTACCTAAAACAGATCCTACCTGTCCTAAAGTAGGATCTTGGTGTGGAGATACACAGACCTACCAGTTAACATCTCAAGGGAAGACCATACTCCAGACTCATCCTTTTAATGTAACATGACTGTGTACCTAAGCATAGAAAGAAAACATTGGGTAACTAAACATCTAAGAAATTTCTGAGCTAAAAATACTACATTCCAAAATCTCTTGCAGCAAATAACTCTTTAGAAGGATCCTTTGAAGCTGAATGTTCACCTCTAGCTGAATGCATATCTAATGCTCCAAAGCATCATAAGTCTTGGACCCACCAATGCCCAGGCTGCAATTTTTCTGATTGCAGCTTAAAATGTTGGCAAGAGCTCCCCTTACTGGTCTGTCTTCAAATTGTCAACTGTTCAGTCCTGAAAATCTGAAACAGCAATGTGAAGACTACTGCTTCTATTCCACATTAAAAAAACAAAAACACCCAAAAAAACCAACAACTCCAAACCCCCACAAACAAAGAAACAAAAAAACCCCACAAATCCCAAAAAATCAGCAAAACAAAAAAAACCCAGCTCCACATCCAGTTTCTACCAGATATCCTATTTTTTAAATTCTTATTAGTTGTTAAGTCATAAGACCAAAGATAATGACTTAGTTTAGGAAGAATTTGTTCTTCCATCACCATGAATTTCAATTTATTGAATCCTTAATTTTGTATAGTCTTAATTTTGTAGGCTTTGCCACAGTCTGAATGACAAAACAAACACAGACACCCAGTTCTGACATACATATTGAGTAACACTTCATTTCTCAGTAATTACCACAGCTTTAACAGGATCATTTGTGGGATAATCAAGGAGTCAGGGTGGAAATTGGTGTGGAACTTGGAGCTGCAAAAAAATTTATTACAAAACTTTACTATTTTCTTCAATGACCTATTGCTTGATTGGAAGAACAAAATATACCTCTCAGACTGTGTTGGTTTAATGATTAAAGACTTGTTGATTTATGTATATATAAACATATATACACACACATCACATACATTTATATATGTTTTTTAGAGTCCTACTTTCACAAGCTTGGCCTAGGGGCTGACTGAAATTGGACAGTTTTGCAGTGATGATGCCAACTAAGAAAGGTTAACACACAAGTCACTTAAACGATACCATGAAATACCATTATCTTCAATTCACAATCCTGTTAATGCATAAAAATACATGTTCTCTAGATTGTTCTTGCATACGTGAGGTGGCCCTACAGAGGTGAGAAAAAACAGTAAAAACTGTTGTTATGGCACATTAGGAAAAAAAAGAGAGAAGATATGCTTTTGAATGCACCTGATAAACGTGGAAAAACTGTAAAATAGGATTTCTTAATGTACAACAGCACTTGGAGAAGGTTTAGTGTAGCACATCACACAGCCACCTAGATCTCAGCACTGTGCTAAATATCCAAAAAACCCCAAACTACCATTATAAGCACATTAAACAAATAAACAAAACCACTATAATTTCAGATAGATTCAGGTGCCTCCCATTTTCTGAAACAACGCTGGCAGTTTAGCTACGAATTCAAATCAACTCAGTCTGGGTTCTTTCAGGTAAACTGGTAGAATTCCCTGAAGCATTCTCTATTTTCTTTCAACACAGTTTTCTTTCTTGACACCACATCCATTCTCTCTAGTGATTATTGGTTATTTCCTCTTTCACTGCACTGGACAATTATTCTTCTTGGGCTAGTTGTTGTAATAGAGAGGAGAGGGGACTTATGAATTGGGCACAAGCAAACTAAGTCATTATAATCCCAATCTATACTGACTAACCAGGGTCATATTCATTGTGCTGTCAACACCCATGCTAACATAACCCACTCTCCAGAATTAGCTGATCCCACAATTTGTAAAAGTATCTAAATTTAGGTATTTAAGCTTATTTGCTTTTTACACAGCTTTCTTTGAAGCCCATTAATAAACTTAGAGAAAAGAAAATTGAGACGTGAACAAAAAACTCAAAATGCTCAATAGTATAATTTTCAATAAAAAGGAAGCGCTTTAAGAGGAAGCAGTATTTTCAGTTTCCACCTTCTCTTGCCATATAACAGATTTTGATTTATTCAAATTCTCTTACCTTGCTTTAGAGACCTCTCATCTTTCTGTCAAATATTAGTCTTTAGCTTCTGTATTTGTGTTAAGGAAAGCAGTACTTATAACCTTGTTCAACTTACAGTAACTACTCACGTGCAATGTGGTTTACGTCATAAAATGCAAATAAGTGAACTTGCAATCTTTTTTAGATTTAAGTATAAATAAGTAGCAAGTAATAAATGAAGTTCAAATAAGTGTCCTTTAAGTAATTGTTTTAACCATGCTCTTCTTCCAATAGTCAAGATATTTTCAACTCAGACTGAAAGCAGAAAGTGAGCAGTGAAAGCCCATTGAGATAAAATTTGGTGCTTTAACAAGCAGCAACAAGAAGTCTGCCATCCAAACTCTCTTTTCACTGCTCAAGCAAAACCGGAGCAGAGTGAAGTTCCTGTGCTAGATATTAGCAAAAAAGTGAACTTATTAGTGATGGATACAAATGTTAAATTAACATAAAATATTCAAATAGAGAGCCGATTTTCTCACAATATCAACTCTATAATCAAAACGTGTATATTTACAAAGACCTCCTTCAGTTTTTGTTCTCAAATGCTTCCAGACTTTAAAATGTATCCTAACACAATGTTTCATTCCAAGCTCTACTCATCAATATTTCACACCTAAATGAAAAACAGTGTAAATGTCTTGATATTTCTAACACTTGTTTCTACTTTTCTCCCATCTGAGCAATATACATTTTTTAAATTATTTTTTGTTGTTTAAGCATGGAAGTTACAGGATTATATGCATTTAAAAAAACCCACAAAACCTTTCAGAGGTTCAAGTTGATTCAAATACCAGAAACACTTGGGTGTTTTGTTTAATTCATATACTTACTCAAGTGTCCTCATTGGATTTCCTTCACCATACTATGTGATTCAAGACCCTTTTTTCCCTAGGGACTACAAAGAACTCATCCCTTAGACCCCATAAAATGCTACCAATTTGCTTCTTTACATCATTTGTTTATTCTTACAGCATAGAATCAGTTAGGCCTTGTTAGGTTGCAGAAAGGATCAATACCACGTTTAGAAGTTAAAAAAGTCCATAAACTTGTTTGCTCAAATAAGAAAAAAAACTTACAAGCAGAGTATAAGAATGCATGCCTGTTTAGTTTACAGAATTTGGAATTTCTATCCCTCTGCATTACATAAGCCATTTATCAATTGTAAATTTAAGCCAAAACACAGGTAATGCAACAGCAAAGCTGTACAACTAACCAGGAGAAAAAACCAAGAACTGCAAGCAGCTTATTATAGACTTAAAAGGAAAATCACATCAGAAATGGAGCACTAGACATGCTAAACATAGAGAAGCTTAAGAGGTGGAATTCCACACATGACTTCTCAAATGCTGTCATTTGAATAGAGAGCAAGGGATGATTTACCTTTCAGCAAAATCTGGATGGAAAATAACCTAGGATTCCAAAGAAAGGAAACAGAAATTACATGAAGCTAAATTCTACAGGCCTATTGGCTCATCCATGTGAGCCTGAATATATGCAATTCTACAGAACTTTCTTTGGGCAGCTTTTTGAATAAAAATACCTAATGAAACTTTCTCCTGAAGCTTCCCTATTCCTGAGAGGAAAAAACCAAACCAAAACACTACCCCATTCCCCCCAAAAAACAACCCAAACAAACAACAAAAACAAACCCACCAACTAATGTGATAGCTACTGGACAAGAAAAACAAGCAGCACTGGGAGAGTCAGCAAGGAAAACTGTTCCTTACAAAAGCTTTTCAATTTATACTTGTTTTTTCCCCAGAGATATAAAGGTGGCGCCTATCTGGTGTACATGAGAAGCTCTCAAAACCAAGCTTCCCTTTGATGTAATGTCCCAGAAGTCCTTTGTCAAGGATTACTTATAGATCCAATAATTTTTCCTATTTTAAGTAGGAAGTAGGATAAGAGCAAAAGTAACACATATTATTCTTCTTGTTTCTGTAATTTGTATGTGCCTGACCTGCAAACAGGAATCTTCACAGGTTCCATCATCATGCACTGGCTCACTTACAAATAAGCCAGTGTCTGAGCTAGTTACAAATACAGTATAAAAACTAAAAACCAAACCAAAGCAAAACCAAAACAAAACCAAAAAAAAAAAACTATGAAGCTTTTCCTTTGCAGCAAAGAGCAACAGGGGAAGAAGAGCTAAGCTGAAGGAAAAAACACAACACTCAAAAAAAATCCCATACCAGCTTTCATCTTTCAGGTAGAGCATGTGAATCTCCTTCTTCCTGATTACATAGTTTATTGTGACCAAAGCAATTATATGGATAGGATTGGGCTCCCATTTCTGTTACCCCTTTAATTTATGATTTGGTAAAAGTAGGCAAGTACTATGGGGCACTTGTTAAATTTTTGGAAAACAAAACAGAAACACAACAATGAAACAGTCTCTTGAACTTTCATTCTGGGGTATAAAACCCATTATGTTAAAGTAGTATCTGACCATGCCTTCAACTTACAGAGATGTTCCAACAAGCACAGATCATACTTTACCAGACATTCTTTACTTTCTATTAGTCACACTATAATAAGAGTCAAATAATTCGACAGAAACATGTCAGAGAAGTCCATATAGCATTTCAAAGCACAAACACTAATTTTTGGGTCATACCATTTTGCAAAATAAAAATCCTAAAGGAAAAACAGAGAGCATACATCAAAAATTCTTTAGGCAAGTCCCTAAGTGTAGAAATTTAAGAATTTTAATAAAGATATCCTAATCTTTCAAACTAAGAAACAAAATCCATTTCCAGAGTATTTTGTCTATGAAAACGATGCATTTTTCAGAGTAGCCACTTCTATGTAGAACTTACAAATCACAGTGTTATCTATTAAAACAACCCATGCTACTGAAATTCAGTTTCAAAACTTCCAGTAATCCCATTTCTCTTGTCTTTTCACTTCTGAGTAATAGGAAATGAGTTCTGGTCCATTAGCTCGCCCACTCTCTCCTGGAGGAAGTTAACCAATTCAGCTAATACAAAGATATGAGTTTCATCCAGGTCTTGTATGATGAACTTCTTTCCCAAAGCATTTGACTCATCCAAGTAGAGCAGAAACTGCTTCATTGCTGGGTCACTGTAGAGACAAATACACATCAGATTTCACCCCAATGTAATAAGATACAGTTACAAACAAACAGAAGAAACACTATTTAAAGACGCTCCCAAAGATTTTAGGGAAATTATTATTTCCCTATTATTTTTCCCTATTTTCCCTATTATTATTTTATTAGTAACTCACAAGTTAAATACAGTATATGAAGCTTTTGAAAAGGTTGTTTCTTTCACAGCAGTAATTCCTTCTGTTACTTTAGAGACAAAAATAAACTGATAAAGCCTAATGAGTAGAACCAGCTGCTTGATTAGCAGAGAAGTTCCCCTATGCTGCTGCTAAAGGAGCTCAAAAAAACCCACAAACAACTAAAAAACCTTAATACAGTAAGTCTGAACTTACATTTTTGTCTTCAGCAATAGCACCGTAAAAACACGTCTTCTTAAAGCATACATTTGTTCAAGGATAAGCAAAACTCAGGAGAACACAGTTCTCACTCAAAGTAGTACAGCACGAAGAAAAATTCACTGTATGAGTTGTATATTTATCCCGCCCTAATTGAACGGTCGCGGTGTCACCTTTTAAGTTAAACGTTTAGAAGAAAACATTTCGGAATTGTGGAAATTACAGGTAACCGAAACAGCTGCATCACAACAACTCCTTTTGTCGGGACTCCCGCGTTACGCAAGGTCTGGAGAAATAAGCAGGTTTTGACACAGGGAGAGGCGGGGAGCGCCGTCACTCACCACTCAATCAGAACGCCTTTCAGAACATTCACCATCTTCCCGCTTCTCTTGCAAACGCCTCAGGGAGGGAGAGGCCGCGAAAACAACCCCTCGCTTCGGGTGGCAGACGCGAACGGAGCAGCCCTGCAAACACAAAAAAAAGGAACGACGCTTTGGTTAAACTCGCAGACCCTTTAGACAACTCACTTCCCCGCAGCAGCAACGCTGCTGCTCCCTCCCACCTTGGCCAGAGGGGCTGCCGAGAGCTCCGGTCCCTGCCTCGTCCCCCCTCGCCCCGCGCGGCTCCGCCAGGCCCCGCCGCTCCGGACCCGCCGCTCCCGCGCACGCGCAGCGCCGCTCCCGGCAGCGCCCGCGGGTCGGCGTCACGGGAGCGGCGGCGGAGGCGGAGGGTGGAAGGTGGGAGCTGGGAGCTGGGAGATGGGAGCGGTGCCGCTGGAGCGGGGAGGGGGCATGGCGGCCGGGACGCGGGGTGGGACACGGAGGGGGGGAGGTGGGGCGCGTCTTGGGGTAACAGGTTGTTTTCTTTCTGAACCCCTTCGGAAAGAGGCGCAGAGCCAACCCCACCCCCCCACTGTAAGTGTTGCATCGCCTAAAATTGCGGTGGTGCTTGTTTGTTTGTTTGCTGCCCGGACCTGCTGTGGAACAGGCTGCAAAAGTGGGTCCTTCCGCGTCGTGTTTGCGTAGATCCCTAAGCGTAAAAACCTCAGTATGAGCCGGCAATGCGCGCTCGCAGCCCGGAAAGCCAACCCAAATCCTGGGCTGCATCAAAAGGAGCGTGGCCAGCGGGGCGAGGGAGGTGATTCTGCCCCTCTGCCCTGCTCTGGTGAGACCCCACCTGCAGTGCTGCATCCAGCTCTGGGGACCCCAACGTGAGAAGGACATGGACCTGCTGGAGCCAGTCCAGAGGAGGGCCGCGAATTTGATAATAGGACTGGAGCACCTCCCCTATGAAGACAGGCCGAGAGAGCTGGGGCTGTTCAGCCTGGAGAAGGTTCCATGGAGATCTCATAGCAGCCCTAAAGGATCTGAAGGGGCCTGTAGGGAAGCTGAAGAGGGACTCTTTATCAGGAACCGTAGTGATAGGACAAGGAGGAATGGGTACAAGAGAAAGAGGAGAAATTTGGTTTAGATATTAGAAAGAAAATCTTTACTCTGAGGGTGGTGAGGCACTGCAACAGGTGGCCCAGGGAGGTTGTGGATGCCCCAACCCTGGCAGAGTTCAAAGTCAAGTTGGATAATGCCTTGAGCAACCTGGTCTAGTGGGAAGCGTCCCTGCCCATGGCAGGGAAGTTGGAACTAGATAATCTTTAAGGTCCATTTGAACCCCTGTGATTCTGTGTTGGCTCTCGGACCTGAACAGAGACTCCTGGCAGCAGAGAAATGGAACTCATTTTGGCTTCCTGTGTTTGCAGGTGCTTGTTTGAAATTCAAGTAATTGTGGTACCCACTGTCACTGAACCACATGTTTATTGTGGTTGTAGACTGTAGCTAGGGAGAAAAATAAATGCGCGTGATTTTGTGACTAAAGGTAGTGAAGGAACTGCCATCAGACAGAGTTTGGAGGTGGAATAAGTGTCCCTAGAGGACTGACTATCAGTGTCTTCAAAGTGTATCACAGTGTTATGTACGCTGCTGAAGTGAATGGATATTCAATGTTGAAGTGATGGAAGTCAAAAAGTAGTCTGCTGGCAGTGATTCTGGGAGTGTTGGGGTAATGCTGACGTTTTTCAAAAACGTCCTAAACACAAACAAGAGAGAAGTGAAAAATCAAACCTTTTGGGGAAATGAGAAGAGAGGAGGACACATTAATGGAAGAAAACAAACAGAAACCTCTCGTTTAGAGGAGTTGGACACGACAATAAAAGCAATATGAGCATTTTTCTTGCTCTGTAGAGATTACCTTAAATTCAAGGAGCTTATCAGGCTCCCATATTTCAAGGTCAGATTTACACATTTTATCATTTTGAGTTAATTGTGATGACATAGACCTAATTTGTTATTTAATAAGGATGACTATGTTTCCAACATAAGAATTTGATTGATATGTGAGAGATATTGGTGCGGTTTTAAATCCACTTAAACTTGGACTCACATATTACCTTCATGAAGGCTGCTACTGTCAAGAAAATTCATGCTTGCATTGGCTTGCCTGTAGAACTTTGGTAGTTCTAATATATGTATGTTCGTGGCTTCAAAAAAAAATCTAGTTTGATTTCAGCATTCGGTGAATACAATGCAGTTATTCTGCTGGTATCCTGTGGCTTCATAATGTTGAATTGCTAAGGTCTTAATTTTAGAAACGTTTCTCTTCTTCTTGACTCAGACTAGATTCTTGTTCTTTTGCACATGTTAGAATAGAATGACATGCATGTTTTACCTGTGACCGTGCCCTCTGAGTTTCGTGAGCCCATGAAGTCAGAGCATTTGAGAAATGGTACTCATTTTTAATAAATGCGGAGGTTTCACATTATTTAAGTAATCAAAATGAAAGACTTACTTGCTAACACAATCCATTATAAACTTTAAAAACAGTTGGTTGCTGAGTTGTATTAAGGCCCGTGTCATATAGAATAATGTCTTGATGGAGATATGACCATATCTGGTATTTTAGGGGAAGTTACTAAGAAGTAGAAAAGGAAACTTAGAAGCAGAGAAGTTAATTGGAAATACATACAAAAATCAACAGTAGCACATAATTGATGAAAAACTGCTTTAAACTTTTCTTGTAATTGAAATGCAACCAATTAAATTAAGGAGTTTATAGATTTCTTTAATTGGAGCACTTTATAGGGAGTGAAATGACACGTGTGGTTTATTGTGACATTTGCTATCATGACCTTTTCTGTAAAAAGACAGGAAAAAACTGCTGCAGGTTTTCTGCTGTAATTCTCAAATCAATCATTACTTTTTATTTTTTTTTAATATGCAGAATGTCAGTGTCTGCTTACTGTATATTTTGCTACAGACAAATAGGAACCTCAGGTTCAGCCACAAAAACACACCTACCCTGGAATGATATCAGTAAGTACAGTTCATTATGTATTGATCTGAAGTGTTAATAAAGAGGAAGGGTATGATGTCATGCATTATTAAATGCTACTAAAGTTCTAAGTCCCTGAAGACTTTGTGATTAAAAGCTCCTATTAACCTGAAGTGCCTGTCTGCTTCTGACCTTGCTTTGCATAGTGATGTGTAAAATGACACCAGCAGATTATTTGGGAACAGATACAAACATGATGGGAGGTCCTTTCCTCACTGTATGTGGTCTCACTAAACTATCTTAAACTCAGATTATATCAGATTTTTTTGGTAACCTCTAGAGCCATGAAATTACATCCATAAACGGGGAATAAAATTTGTTTCTGTTATTTCTTTTATATCATGATACTAGTTCTGCGGTCTTTCTTGCTTAGTCTCTGCTCTCTTTGGTGCTTTCTGCATAGAATGACGATTCTTACAAAGTTTATTTCTGAGCATTAAAGATAGGATATTTCAATTTCTGCTCTACAGGAAGCATTGCATTTTTTTTTTTCTTTTTCAAACTTCTCTGCCAGTTATTTCTTCAACATGTAGCTGCTGCCTCTTGTCTGCATGCCAAATTCTTATGGTCTCTCAAAGATGGAAGCTGGTAGCAGTGGTTGTGGGGCAAATCTCCCAATTCATGCTGAGGAAAAGAAATTATTCATGATAGGTGAGATGTGTTCCATTGGGTTTGCTGCTACTGGTAATGATAAGAGTTTCTCTGTATAGAGATCCTTATATTCCGATAATCAGATCAACATTGTAGGGACAAAATAGCTGAAATCTGACAAGAATCATTAGACTTAAAAGGAAAATTATTGCAAGTAACGTGTTTATTTGCTGTTTGCTTTATAAATTAGATTCAATGGAATTATTTTTAAAAATATATTTTCTTATGGAGACTCTTCAGGACTTTTCAAAGAATTACATGTTCCTGTATGTAATAGTATACATTGAAGATATAGCTACACCATGAAGGAAAAAATTAACTCCTTAAAATAATTTGGAGTTCACAATGATTGCTAGTGACATAGGCAGAGAAAGTTTACTGTTGATTCCTGCAGTTGAGCAATGAATGTAATTGAGAGGTAGCAATACTCAAAGTAAATAGCACTGTCGGGATACATATTTTATCATTTTATTTAGGAGAGCAGGAAATTCTAATCAAGCAATGTTTTCTCTGTTTGTAAATTTTGGTTAATGATTTCCTGAAAGGTGGAGAGCAACAGAAAAATTTTTATAAGTGGCTGGTGTTCTTATTGTCCGATAGTGAAACGGTAACTATGTTAATATTGAGGTGATGCACACAACTTTGTTTGACATGAGTTTTTTATTTTTTCAAGGAAAAATTGCAAAGGTAACTGGATCACTTATACTAGGGTAAGTTATAACTGACAAGCATATAAAGAACTTATGTATGCAGTTAAAAGTTTAATTTGTGTATCTCTCAAAAAATGTGACTATCAGGAGAACATTACACATTGTAGAATATAGCTTGGAAGGATAATTTCTGATAGTTATTACTTATTTCAAGTAATTTATAACCTTTTCTCTACTTTGTGAAATCAAAATAATCTGCAGACTATTATGTATGTGGTAAAATTGGATGATTTATAGCAAAGTGATTGTTAACTTTTTTTTGCCACATATTTTTTTTAGTTAATATTCATATGCAGTTCTCTTTTCTTTCAAGAGGTTTTGTATTCATTACATATGAAGTCCTGTCCTTAAATAAGTTGCTGCAAATCGATACTCAAGCTCTACATCAAGAAAAACTTAAATCCTATGTATATGTACGTACAGCTTCTCTAAATCCAAGTGAATATCAAGGTAAGGTGTGCATAATTGTTTGTGTTTTAAAACCAGAATTTTAAGCGAATAGAACGTTTCTGGAAGTAACCCTTATATAATAAGGAAAGCTGTATTTCCTGAGATCTGTTATCAGAAATGTCGCCAAATTTATTTTAAGCTAGTGACTGAATTTTTTTTTAAGATTGTTCCTTCTATACGTAGTTCTCTATATATGAGATAATTTTCTTTATATGTGTCCATATGTATATGTGTGTCTATTTTTTTTTCATATGTTTACAAAAAGTGATGTGAGGGAACTGTCTTTCAGACTTCCAGTAATATAAAAATACTCTTATAGGGGTCACATACAAAGCCAGAAAAGAAATCCATAAAGCAGTGAGGAAGATTCTAGAAACAGAAGCTAAAATATTCCGGAGACCTTTTAATGGTAGGTATTGAAAGCATGAGTTTATCTATGATTATTATTTTTTAACTGTGTGAGGTAGAGCTTTTAGAAAGTAAAATATTTTTTCTCATAAACTTAACATGTTCTTTTCTGTTTGAAACAGTGATAATAAAAATTATAATTTCTGTATTAATATGGATTATCAGTTGTCTATTTTCTATGTATTAAAACCATTCTTTTTCTTTAAGTAAACAAAAGCAATGGTTAAGAGGAGATTTGTGGGTTATTTTCATAGAATTATAGAATCATAGAATCAGCCTGGTTGGAAAGGACCTCTGAGATCATCAAGTCCAACCCTTGATCCACTACCACCCCAGTTATTAGACTATGGTACTCAGTGCCATATCCAGTCTCGTCTTAAAAACCTCCGTGGACAGAGAATCCACCAATTCCCTGGGCAACCCATTCCAATGCCTGATTTTGTTCATGTTTCAGATGAGATTTAAAGCTTAAGATACCAGGCTAATATTTGATACCAGTTTTGTGTACAAAGGGTATTTGTGGGATGAAATACTCTCAAAATCTCATTACAGAAAAGTACGTTATGCTTTCTCAGAATTGACAATATTAACTGAAAGCGGCACAGTCTTTTTATAATAGTGTCACTGCTTTTTAGAGTAATTTAAAATAAGAATTGCAATTCGTAGAAGAAACTGTGTTCCTGAGGCATACGGTCTATTCTCATTTAACTATCTGTTAAATAATTATAACAATATGCACCTCCTATGAAATGTCATGTCAACCTATGAAATTAATTGTTCAAGGTCAGAGCTTCAGAAGTTGCTGGTAATTCTGGTTGATAAGTACCAGCCAGGGGTTGTCACATATATTTGAAATATCAACTTGGTGCCACTAAAATGAATTAAACCCACCATTTAAGGATCAGCATTTTACTACTGTCATTCTGTCATTGTTTATTGTACTAATTTAATATTAAAACATTGCACTCTAAATTACTGTTAACAACTAATATTCAGATATTAGAAGAAATGTATTTCCTTACTCAACAAAGAGAACGTGACTGTTAAAATGCTTATTAATAATAGTATGTGTTTCGTTTGTTTCCTGTTAAAAGAACAATTCGGTACATTTGATGGAGAAGAGCATGAGTGTGCCTTATGGCTTCTCTTAAAGAAAACTCAGTCAGAAGACAAAATGGTCCGACTGCAGGCTGTGCAAGACCTGGCAAGCAACAGTCACTGGCGTGGTAATGTGTGCTGATGTAGCCTAATTCATCTCAGAAATGTGACAAAATCTCAGTTAGCTGTTCCAGGTCTGCTGCCAACATAAAGAAAAGCTAGTAGCTGCAAGAAGCATAAATATGCTCTGAAATTTGGTCTAAAATGTGGGGGAGTTATTTACATTTTAAGTAGCTGTTCTTTCCTAACACCCTGACACAGAGTGTGTCTCTGCAGTGCAGGTCTCTCTGTTTCCCACCAGAGAATTCCAACCATTGCTGTGTTGTGGGAGAGCAGTTCATGCTCCTTATTCCTAGGGTTTTCTGTTGGGACTGCTAACACAGTCACAAGTTCTGGCAGTAATTTTTTTTTATAAGGCTCTGTAGGAGTGAGTTTAAAGCCATGGTTAAGTTGATAAAAATTGGTTAGGAACTGATATGTAATAATGACAAACCAGAGGTAAATTACTTGTATGTGTAAACATTATTTGTAAGCCAATTTTTGTCCTAATTATTATTTAGTAGTAATAAGTTCACCCTGTGGCTCTAGCAGCAAATATCCTGGAAACCCCAAGGAGAGGTGTGTGTGTATGTGTATATGCGTGTCCTCCTCCCTGCCCCATCACTAGGCCACATAAACTAGGTGACATTCTATTCTGGATTCTCATTAGTCTGGTAATTCAGTCAGCTGAGGATCTTTCACTCTTCCAATGCAACTCCAAGCCATGGGATTTATTTTGTTTCAAATTGCCTCTTTAAAAATCTAATCGATTTCCACAGGGAATTTACATCAACATACTGGGTTTGAAAACATCTGAAAGCTAGGATGTACCAAAATGGAAGCTTTGTGTACTAGTTTAGTGTAGTGGTGTTTGTAGCAGAATACTGTCAGCGAGTAGTCTCAGGATGTCCAGTATAAGGAATTTAGTTGCTTTTTGTTATCTCCCTTTCTCTGTAGTGCTCGCTGTAGTATTTAGATGTTTCACGAACACTGTTTGTTCTTGCCAACTGCCTCCTGAGGGAAACAGGCTTTTATTTAACCTAATACTTCAAAACAGAATCCAGGAAAATTTAAGATTGAAAGTATGTGCTAACTTTTCACAGCTAGAACTAAAGTGTTCAGCTTGTCCACAGCACAGCTCCACTGAGTTTAGTTTGCAGGTGTAAGTGATCTGCACTGAAGAAAAAATATGACCAATCTGTGACTGTGAAAATTATATTTTAAATGGCTTGTCAATTTTGTTCTAGAATTGAATAACAGTAACAAGAATAGAAGCAAATTTTTATTTTCTTTCCCTTCAGTTTGCCACTGAATTTCAGTATGTAATTTTCAATATTTCCAACTGTAAAGTAAGTAGGTTTTGGAAAGGATGAGTAGTTGACCTTAAATATGCTTTCCCTTCAACAGAGTAACTGAAAGTCTCTCTTGTATTTTCAGTAAGGAAAGGCTACTTAAAACTGTACTATGTTATCAATGTTATTGAAACATGGCTTTTTGTATCATTCGAAATTTGGGGTGTGTGTCTTTGAAGTATTTGGATTTAAGGCTCTGGTTTTTAATAATGTAAGCAGAAGCCTATGCACAGTGACTTAAATTTTAACACTGAATATTTGCTTGTGCTCAACTTATATCTGAGGACCTATATCAAACTGGTCTATAATGAACAGTTAGTACCCAAGGGTATTTCAGTTCAGCGTAGTGCTGATCTAACATCTGCAGTTTTTAACTTGCAGAATTTGTGGTTACAAAACTGGAGCGTGTTTAAGTAGATTGCAGAGAGGTGCTTATTTTTTCAAGTGTATTTACAAAGTAGATCAGAAACTTCATTTAAAACCAACTGAAATGTTTAAGTTTAGTTTAACCCTAACATTGAAACTCTCGTTTGACAGATTATCAGTATGGTACAGTTGCTCAAACCTGTGATCAAAGGACTGCTATAGGTTTGGCTCGATCCAAAGGAATTGACCTTCGCTTTTTCCTGCCTCCACCACCATTGCCAAAAATAAAGACTGTAAGTAAACAAAAAGTAGGCATTAGATGATTCTTAGTTGCTAATTTGTTTTTACTGCTTTTGTTGTTGTTAACTGTTTAAACTGGAGTTCTTCTAAAGTAAGTAACTAGTAGTAAAATTAAGATCAAAATACAAAACTGTAATATGTGATATACCCCTGGGGTATATCTGCATTAGCAAATGGAATGATGGAAAGAAATAAGGTTGGAAGCATTGCTCAATTACTTTTCTTGAGCTGTATATCCACAGTACATATTTACCAGTGGTGAAGTCTGAGCGAGTTACCGGTATGATACACACACTGCTTGTCTGTACCTAATGGGCAAAGCGAAGAAGTCATCCTGGATTGCCTTGTTGATTCTGACAGAATCCTACACATAGATGTAGGATTCCTGGAGGCCTTTGCATCCTCAGTGCTAAATGTGGTTCTGTACTCTAGAACCACCTCTTCATTGCCAGCTTTTAGGTGTCAACAAATCTTTATTGGATAAATTTGGCCTTGGTTTTTCTTTTTAAGGTAATTTTTAAGGGTGTGCGTAAATATTATGTATGTGATGGTCAAAGCAATCATGCCATCATCAGCTTCAGTAAACAGAATTGGCACACAAAGCATAGTACATGAGGTGTTTTGTAATGCTGATAGAATGAATACTGGCAGAAGTCCTGTCATAAACTACCTCTATATCTTAACCAGCTGTCGTGGTTTTGCCCAGCCGACCAGCCACTGGGGCTGAAGATGGTTTTGTCCAGGTGGATTTCCGGACAAGAAACCAATCAAAAAGTTTAGTGACGCCTTTGCTAATTACATATTTAAGAAAAACGGAAGAGAAGGTTAGTTGCGTAGTTGAAATTAAGAGTAGCAGCCATGTAGGAGAGACAACGGACCCTAAGAAGGGCCAGACCCTCTCCTCCCCCAGCTTGGGCCGGGGGCAGGTGTAGTACTGAAGCCCCCCTTCTCTCATGTAAGAGAGTAGAGAAAAAAAAACACTTTAGGGAAGAACTGACTGCTTGGATGAGAAAAGCTGCAGAAGGAATTCTGGCAGAGAGATAAGGGACCTTCAAGGTCAAAGCTAGCAGCCGGAGGAGAGAGAAGAGAAATTAGAAGGGGGGGCTGTTTCTCCCCCCTTTCGCTCTCTCCCTTCAGCAGGGAAAAGACTGAAAAATAAATCCCTGCCACCCATGGAAGTTTGTTGGGGTGAGGAGACCCCCATGCTGCTCGTGGAAGAACCTACACTGGAGTAAGTGGATGCATAAAGAAGCCGAGATTTTATGAGAGACCTGAGGTAAAACAGAATCCTGTTGAAGATTTGTGACCCTGAGGGAAACCTCCGCTGGAGCAAGACGGCCCGGGTAGGATTTTGGGATCCAAGTGAGGGATCCATGCTAGACCCATGTCGGAGAGGTCTATCAAGGACCGTTTTCCCGTGGGGAGGGACCTCCACAAGAAACAGGGGTGGACTCATAAGCCATTATCCCCTGTAATCCTGTGCTGAAGATCCATGGTAGGCAAGTGTCCCCTTGCAAGCCCATGGAAGAAAAAACCTTCAGGGCCTTGGTAACTCCCCAGCTTCCGGTCTTAGCCCAGGAGGGGGGTAGGCCCAGCCCTGGAGGCCAAAACAGAGCAAGAGAGAAAGAAAAAGAGTTCCAGCTGTGACGAGAGTACTGCAGAGTTATTGAAGAGACCTGGAGCTCTGAGAATGGAGAAAGAAACTGCTTTTCCTCCTTGGACTGGTATAAAGGGGGGAGAAGTATTTCTGTAAATACATAGTACTTTTTACTTAAGTAGAATTGTTATAGATATAATTCTTTAGTTTTAGCTTGTTAGTAATAAATGTTCATATTATTTTCCCAAATCCAATCTCTTTTGTCTGCATGAACCTTCTCTCAACTTATAGTAATTGTGTGGGGGGTGTGTGAGCAAATTGACCCAGAGCAAAACCACGACACCAGCAAAACTCTGAAATGCCAACTTTGATTTGTAGTGTTATTTTCAGTATTTCCTTTCTTATCTTCATAACATTTTTTGATAGTGGATCTGTACCTGCCAGTCCTTAATTATTAGGTTATGCTAGTATATGGTTGTGTATATATTTTTACATCAGTATGATTACTAGGTGATTGAAGTTAAGAGTTCCCAATCTACTGCTTAGCAAGTTGAAGCAAATCATTGTGGCAGCTCTAATCATCACAAAAGTCTCCATGTATGATTGTAGCAAGGATTAGAATAACTGTGAATTCCATGACTGTGGGCAAATAAAAGTTGTTATTCAACTTTGTTGAATCTGTCAGTTGATCTATGGATTGTTAAATGAACACCTATATGAATATTTTGAATACAAAAGCTTAAAAGAAGTGTTGTCTTTATTTTTTACTAGTAATCTGTGCATTCATTTTAATGGAGTGTCATCATGAGCTGGTTGTAGAGGGTGATTGTTGTGCTCTGTTCTGAGCTGGTGCGACCCCACCTCAAACGCTGTGTGCAGTTTTGGGCACAACAACATAAAAAAGATATAAAGCTATTAGAGAGCATCCAAATGAGGGCTATGAAGATGATGAAGGGTCTAGAGAGGAAACCATGTGAAGAGTGGCTGAGGTCACTTGGTCTGTTCAGTCTGGAGAAGAGGAGACTGAGAGGAAACCTCATTGCAGTCTACAACTTCCTCCTGAGGGGAAGAGGAGAGGCAGGCACTGATCTCTTCTCTGTGGGGACTGGTGACAGGACCTGAGGGAATGACCTGAAATTGTGTCAGGGGAGGTTTAGATAGGGTATTTAAAAAGTTTTTTCACCCAGAGGGTGGTTGGGCACTGGAACAGGCTCCCCCAGGCCTGACAGAGTTCAAGAAGGGTTTGAACGAAGCTCTCAGGCACACAGTATGATTTGTGGAGTGGTCCTGTGCAGGACTAGGAGCTGGACTTCGATGATCCTTGTAGGTCACTTCCAACTTAGGATATTCTATGATTCTAGGAAAACTACTGTGTAGTTAAGGGTGAACTTTTAAGCTTCCTGTGCCAAGAGGAACATACCAAAATATGAAGTGTAAAGTATGAACCTTTTCATCACTTATTTGGTGGTTTTAGAATTACCAGTTTTCAAAGTCTTTACAAATATAGCTGTTAAAAAGTTGCAGAACATTTAAGTCCAGGGTTCATATTTTATGGTCTCATTAGTATGGCTGATTCCATTATGTCAAATATTTATTTTCTCTGTGTTTTACTTCGTGCTTTGAACAAAACTAAAAGCTATTTGTGCTTACTTCTTGCAGGATTATCCCATAGAAGATGAACTTCGCTTGTTGTTAGTGTCTTTACCCCAGACTGGTCTTGATCCATGTGTCCAGTACTTCACATCTCTTGCTTTACGTGAAAGTAGCCAGACTCTTGCTGCACAAAGGGTGAGTTCCCCTCTGCAAAGTAGAACTATTTGTGTTCTTTGCAGAGCTCAAAGATACAAACCTATTTCCACATTTTTGAGCATTGTAAGAGGAAGAGAAATACAGACACTTTGTGATGGCAGAATATAAGCGAAATCTTTTCTAAATACAGACTATCTGCTTGAAAGCCTGTTTGTGTTTCCCAGCTGAATTAGTCGAAAGGTCTAGTGAAAGATTGTATCCTTCAAACCTTCCCTTAAGCAGATATTTCAGCATTTTATCCAAAACATTCCTTCCCCTTGTAGTGCTCATAAAATGATGTTTCACATTTCATCTTACTGTTGCTTGAGTTCTCATTTACTGCAGAGATGATTCAACATCTGTTAAGTCTTACTAGCAAACTAGTAGGTTGTTAGCACACCTCAAATAGTAAACTCTATTATATCACTTGGAAATTCCTTCCTGGAACGGGTCCCTGTTACCAAACCAGAAATGGAATAGTCTAGTGGTCAGTCTGAACTTGGAAACTAGAAGTTCTTCAAAAGTGCAACAGCTTCCTTAGTGGCTTTAGGAACATCATTTAAAGTGCCATTATTGCTTAAAAATAATAATTGTAATGCCACTTTCATCTACTCTTTCTTGTGAATTTTATTTTTTTATTTAGAAGTTGTGACTTTAATGAGTGATTATTGTTTTTTATAAGATGCAATAGCAAAAGTGAATTCATTTTAATAGTGATGCTTGTCAGCCTTCATTTAGAGATTTCAGAGTGCAATAACTCTGTAGTTCCTGTAACAGAGTTATGTGTATTATTTGTATACTATTGCTCCTTTATTTTTTCCACAACCAGAGCTCTTGCTACAAAGTGAGCTTTGGTAAGACACTGCACTTGTAGGCATTTTGATTTTTATTGAGGTTATGCTGGTCTTTCTGCTGCGTGATTGAGACACTGGTTGTCAGAGGCTATGCCACTTATTGGAGACCTTTTTTCCTCCTGTTTTCAGTTTTGCAACTGTGAAAGTCTAAATTTAGTTTGAGTCTTGTTTTTAACGCTTAAGCAAATGATCTGAAAGGAAGACATTCATTAACAAAATGAAAATCCTACATTTTTCCCCTTTATTTATGTTTTGAAGTTAATAGACTATGGAGACTACTGACTGAAAATCTAGTTAATATTTTCACTTAAAAACAGTAAATATTTTTATGGTGTACTGTTGTGTAATTTGTACATTTTGAAAAGTGTATGCATGCTGTGCACTCTTTAAAGCAATTTCTATAGATCATTACACACTTAACGGTTCAGTTTAGACATCCTTGTTTTATGTAGCCATTTGAAGTGTGTTATGATTTTTACTGCTTCTCATTTCAGGGAGGCTTATGGTGTTTTGGAGGAAATGGACTTCCATATTGTGAGACGCTGAGTAAAATCCCTTCAGAAACAGTGGAACTTTTTTGCTTGCAGGCTTTAGTACAACATTCTAAGGTAATTTGTCCTTTAAACTGTAACTGAAAAACTACATTTATAAGCATTCCTTTCTAATGCTCTCTGGTGTATTATGAAGGAGTTGCCATTTCTTTGTCTCCTACCACTCACTCTTTCTGTAAGGGTGTTCAGACAACTGAGACTGGTGTGAAACAAAGGCAGTGAAACAAGCTAATTTTTTTTTCTCATGGGGAAGTGTATGTAAGTTCTGCTCTTGTTTCTAATTAGCCCTTACAAGTTCCCCTGTAGTATACCTGTGTGTATCTTTCAAGAAGTAAAAGGGCAGCTCTGAGACAGAAAAGCAGGAGAGAATGCCTGAGGTGGCTTAAAGGATTTCATCCTGTGTGGGGCTACTTCCCACTGACAGCCAAAGTCATTGGAGATGGATAGCATGAGGAAACCCTTAGTGTTTCCACTCTGCAGCTTCTCAGTAATCGAGATACTGATGATGTGAATTTCTCAGTGCAAAGTAGGTGGATTTGTGTGAGTCAGTGTACATCAGTTCAGAAAATTACAAGCAGGTTTCTTCTTATGGCTCTTAATCCAACTCTAGTGCCAGGTTTTCACAAAGCAAAGTAGCCTCATGAATTCAAACCTTAGCTATTAAAAAAACTCTCTCCTTCAGGGGCCACTGCCTTTGGGCAGAATACTTCACAGCAAGCAGCTAGTACAGTGGCCTCCCAGGACCAGTCTGTTCTTTGCAGACACAGATGGAGAGTATAGAAGACTTTTTGTAATAGTGATCCTTCTTGTTTCGTGTTGTTGCACTCTTCTGTGTTCACTAAATTGCTCAGAGCTAAACCACCAAGAAACAGTGTTGAGAACACCAAATTGTTGTTGATAGCAGGGATGGATAAAGTGCAGTTTGCTGGTATTCCTTTCACATCTTCCATATACATAGAAATTCTGACTTAGTCTGGAATGTGTTATATTCCAGATTTTCGGTTTAAACAAGTTGTGACTGTACTCGTTCCAAATGCGTGTCTGTCTGTTGAAAACCACGGACTTGAGGATATCAGCAGTTCTGTAGCTACCACACATTTTTAAGCACTGTAGACAATCTGTTCAAGTCATAAGCATTTGGCCAATATTGGTAGTTGACACTACAACTAATTAGTGCATATTCATCTGCTTAGTCTAAAATCTGTTGTTACCCTTAGGATCAGTAATGATAGCAGTACTATTTGGAAGTAGAAATACCTTTGCATTTCAGTGCATTTTAGATGGTGGACAGGAAGACAAGTGGCTCTGGTTAAGATAATGCTCTAACAAATGCAGAAAATTGGCCTGTTTCAGATTCTTGAATTTAAGTTGAAATCTGATCATACCAAATGGAGAGTAATCTCATCTCCCTCAGATGTGGAGGAGAATAGAGTGATGGTACTCAGTGTTTTCCAGGTTGTCAATTCACAAGAGTCATGCATTTAGCATATTAAAAATAATATAAAAACATTAACTATGGCATAATAAATTCTAGATTAATAATAATTTCCATGTAATAAGTGCTCTGCATTATATCGGCTGCTTGAAACTCCCTAATCTGTGAATTAACAGTATCTAAAGGACCTTTTGCTGAACATCTATTGATTATTACTGTATTTACTGTATAATGCTAGATTTCTTCTCACTGTGATAAAATTGAAGCTAAAGGAGGCCTTCAGCTACTGCAGAGGATATACCAGCTACGAAAAGATTCAGCAAAGATACAGAGAAACATAATTCGCATTATTGGAAATATGGCTTTGGATGAACATCTCCATTCATCCATAGTACGTGCAGGTAAAAGGAAAGCAAGTGCGAGTAGTCTGAATGTCAGATTTCTATCCTAAAAATTTCCAGGGATTTGGTGCTTATGTAAAATGAAAAGGAGGACCATGGGTTTTATATTTGCAGGGTTAGGGGTGTTGTTCGGGTTTTTTGATACAAAAAATTTAGCCTGTTTAGATGGTTTTGATTAAGAACTCCTGTTTGCTGTCTAGCCAATGTATGTCAATGAGAGGTGTCCAAAGTCTGATGGATGGTGAAAATTTGGACTTTGTTGATGTTCGGTTCACATTACTGGCAAAAATCTTTTTTGAGTTTCTTGCTTTTACAGATCATCTACCTTGAAGATTTTATTTTTTTTTTTATTTGTTGTGTTTTAGTCTTGTATGGGAACAAACCAACTTGCAATCCTCACCTTTTAGAACAAAGTGAAACATGATGTCCTTCTCTCCCTTGTTTCATGTTAGACTACTAACTTCTGCTAAGCTTTTCTCTCATACCCCTTTTTTAATACCCTCTAAATATCACAATGAAAGTTCTGTACCAAAGAAATAAATCTCAATGTTTTAGTAGAAAATAAATAAATAAATAGAAAATATCAATACGGTGTTGTATAGGTCTGAGCTGCTGTCTGGCTTTTAAACACAGTGTGCATTTTTAATCTCTCTGTTACACAAGGGAGAAGCAGCAAAGGCACAGGAAAAGACTGTGAGGATGATGAAAAATTTGAAATGGCTGTGATATAAAAAAACAACTAAACTGAGATTTTTAGTATGGGAAAAAGCGACTGAAAGAGGCTACAATGAAGATTAGTAAAATTCTCTTCATAAAGAAGGCAAAGAGGTCATCGTTGTTTGTTGTGATGCAAGACCAAAGGTTCTTGCACATTAAATTATAAAGAGACAGAACAAATAAATACGTATTTTTCAATATATTGGGTGACCAAAGTAAAAATTGCCATAAAACATGGTGATAGTTGAAGATTTATAAAGCTTCAAAAAGTGATTATACAAATTCATTAAAAGAAACATCCATAAAGTTCTACACATGGAAACCAACTTGACTGCAGAAAACCAAAGGGCGTAGAGTAGAATCAGCACTGTATTAATTGCCTTTTTACTGCTCTATTCTTTTATTGTTCTGCAACTTCCACAGTGCTCACTTCTGAAGAAAGGCAGCTGGACTACAAAGGCCTTTGTTCTGAGTTCTAGCACCATTTCTAAATTCTTATGATTGTTAAAAGTATATATGTAGAGGAAGAGATTGAAACAGGAGAGTCAGCAGCTCCCTGGGACAGAGCTCTCAGTACAAAAGGAGTTTTAGACAGTGAACCAAACTCCAGAGATGAGCAGTCGGATACTGCTGGTCCAGAGTTGATAACGCTTCTCTTTTATTGCTGGATGATGCATAAGAAGAAAGAACCTCTGAGGCTCTTTTCCTTGCAAAAACTACTGGCACAGAAAGAGGAAGAAAAAGCGATGCATTGTGTAGTAGCTGTGATGGGGTATCTGGGGACAGAGGATTCTGAACACTATTTTTGATTCTTTGTCTTGGCTCATTTAAGAGAAATGCAAAACCGAAGACTGTACTAGTTTTAGTCAAACTAGCTTGGCAGTCCTCCACTGTATTTGGAGAACTGAAAGTAGACTTTAGATGGTATTCTTTGTATTTGGAGAACTGAAAGTAGATTTTAGATAGTATTCTTCTGAAGGAGAGCATGCACAATGGTCAACATATATTCTGCTTAGAAATGTAATTTAAATGCATAATTCTTTAAAAAAATTGTTGTTTTTTTAAATCAAAACTCAAATGTCAGGTCATTCTCTTCCTCAGTCTGCAGTGAACTACTTTGAATTAGCAACTTACTGACTACACTAGTAGTAACATAATGTACATGATTTTGAAACAATGCTCATGAGATAAATTGTTCTTTTTTAAATCAGCCTCCATTTGATAATCTCTCTTCAAGGTTTTCCTTTTGAACTTGACTGTAATGTAGTTGTGATTTATAGGTACTAAATCAAAACTTTTGCTAGCAGCAACAAGATTTATCAGGATTTTAGAGACATATATATTTGCTTGTACATATAAAAGATATTCCTTTGAATTTTTCAGTAGTTTATGAACATCCCCATCCATGTCTAAGAAAATTTTACACTTTAGGTAGAGTATTATAAAGTGTCTGTAAGTCACAGTAGCTATGACTTAAAATTTTATTGACGATTGTATCAAATCTAATTATCTTATGTTTCAGTGGTATAAATAGTATAGTATTTTTAGAATAGCAGGGATATTTTAATTCCATAATGAGTTTTTCATACACTGGATTTTAAAATTAGAAATAGTTGTACTCTTACAGCAAACATCAGGTTTTTTTCACCTACCATTGCTCCTGTAGGTTGTTTTTTTGCCTCTCTTGTGCTTTTAAGATTCATTTTCTCTATCTTCCTTGCATCTTACCTGCAAAAAGAGACCTGAGATTGTTCTCTCTCTGACAACTGTATTGACCTGCTGGTACACTTCCTTTTTCTTCTGAGAAGAGGTTCTCCTTCAGGTCATAAGCTGAACAGTAGTAAAATACATTGCCTCCTTGCCACTCTGAATGTTTGAATTTTGGAGATTCCACTTGCCTATCTTTGGCTTTCCTGAGGTAAAGAGTGGATTGAAATAATTTATTTTGATGTTAGCCTTCTTAAGTTTTAACATCTGTTTTCACGAGTATAGTTTAAAGACTGATGTTTCTGAATTCTTTTGTTTGTATGATGTTTCTATTAGTTAACTCCCCACTTTATTTTCTCAATGTAGGTTGGGTTTCTGTACTTGCTGAAGTAATGAAATCCCCCCATATCATTCAGTCTTCTCACGCATCCAGAGCTTTGGCTAATCTAGACAGGGACACTGTGGAAGAAAAATACCCAGATGGCGTTTATGTCTTACATCCACAGTATCGTAGCAGGTAAAGCAGGGGGAGAGGTTGTAAATGCTGTACTTTGAGTTACTTGTTACACTGTTCAGTTACAAAACCTTGGAAGAGTTGAAATCAGAGTGCTTCTGCAGCGGTGTCACCTGCTCCTGCTGTTCTTTGGTGGGTTAAAAGGGCTGAATTTACATTCTCGAGTAGAAGAACAACAGAAGTGGTTGGAATGGTCCATAACCATGAAAAGAGTATTACTGTAATGCGTGGAAAAATCCAAACACAAAACATGAGATTAATTACTACTTTGCATGTGTTGCAACCCTTTAACCTTTGCACTGTATGTCTTGGGTACCGTGCCTTGTAATTATTCTACTGGCATCAGCACATGTTGGCTTAAGATGCAGTAAATTTTCAGCTTAACCTCTTTAAATAGCAATTGTGGATGTGGGACTGAAGCAATCTCCAGCGTGGTATGTCACTTATGTAGCAACTATTCCCTGGGTTCATTGGTATTACTCAGATTGCAGTGAAGATCTAATTAGATGGTAAAGCTGCATTAATAGTAGCTGGAGGGAAAGCTGGTTTTCATTATAGAAAATTATGATTTGTGAGATGGTACTTTCCATACCTCTTTTTATATCTCTTCTAGGTGGATCCCTGGGTTTTGTCTTGAACTGAGCATGCTCTTTGAAATATCATGAAATATTGTCCATGTGATAAGAAATTACGTGTAGTGTTAAAAAAAGTGTTTTGGCATCCCTTAGGTTAAAAGTTTTAATTTGCTAAAAGCATATGTACCACGTATCTCTTAAAAATTCCTTTTTCTTGATCAGTCAGCCCATCAGAGCAGACATCCTTTTTGTTCATGGTCTTTTGGGAGCAGCATTTAAAACCTGGCGACAGCAAGACATTGACAGGCATTTGGATAAAAAGGTCTCAGAAGGGGAAGAGGACTATAGTCAGTGCTGGCCAAAGGTAAAAAGACAGTGACATTTTTACACATGGCTGCTGTTGTCTCATTAATGAGAGCTGTCCAAAGCATCTAGAAGGACACTGTCTGGCAGATGTCTTTTTTGAATCACGTTGGTTTTAATATGTTACACAAGTAGCACTTTCCAAGTTCCTAATAGATTTTTGTTAGTGAGGTGGTTGTTCTTGCAAGGAGAAGTCCCTGCTAAGTTTAATGCTCTTAACATCATTCATGTGCTAGTGAAAGAGAAGGCCATGGCTTCTTTCCTTATGCTCTTTTTTTATTTTTTTATGGAATGTTGTTGCTGAGGAAAAGGTATATAAAATTGCATTTTAAATTAAGTACCCTTTCTTACATAGGTGTCTGAGTATGTGCAGATTGCTTTTTAAGTACTGTTGGTGAATAAGTGCTTACTGCTTCAAGTAACTCACACCGATATAGCCACTGAAGTATCTCTGTAAAACTTGAACTGATCAGTCCTGCTGGTAATCTTACTCTTGTTTTGCCCAGGAGAGGGAGCCAGGAACGCACGAGTTAGAGATCAGTCTTCATCTTTTGCCTACTTTGTGGCTGGGGAACAGCCTAGAGTTTGCCAACATATAATAAAAGAATAATAATCCATATGTAAAATGTATTTGTGGATTAATTGATGAGCAAAAGTCTTGCTTGATATTGTCCCCCTAGTAGCATCTTTGCTTCATTGCTGATAAGTTGCTTGCAATAGTTTAAGTACCCCAATTATAAGTTCTTTGGTTTTGTTTTTCTTTTAATTTAGACATGGCTGGCTTCAGACTGTCCTTCCCTTAGAATCCTGTCTGTAGAATATGACACCCATCTGAGTGACTGGAAAGCAAAATGTCCTGTTGAGGCTCACAGGTAACAAATATAGCATCTGCAGTTTGGAGGGGGGGCAGGAGGGAGACCTGTAAAGCTAATCCTTGGGATCACCTACTGTGAAACAGTGAATTTAACTTGTGTTGCATTGGAAAATCAAATTTGGAAAAAATTAAAGACAGTCATAGTATACTTGAGTTTTTTTAGCCTCATGAAGGCTACTGGCAACTTCATGAACTCTTGCAGTCCACTCTAGTCATGTTTAGGGGAGACACTAAACTATGCTATTAGTTAATGTAAATCTTAAGGGCAATATTTCTTGAAGTGACCCAATAATTCTTCATAAGCACAGCAAAAAAATCACTGTACGGTGGCTTTGTACTCCTGATAAAATGAAGCATATATTTTCATAGAATTGTTTAGTCTGGAAACGACCCTTCAGATCATTGAGTCCCACCATTAACCCAACATTGCCAAGTCCACCACTAAACCATGTCTCTAAGTCACATCTACACATCTTTTTAGTACCTCCAGGAATGGGGACTCAACCATTTCCCAGGCAGCCTGTTTCAGTGCTTGACAACCCTTTTGATGAAGAAATTTTTCCTAATATCCAATCTAAACCTCCCCTGGTGCAACTTGAGGTTGTTTCCTCTCGTCCTGTCATTTGTTACCTGGGCCAAGAGACCAACCCCCAACTGGCTACACCCTCCTTTCAGATAGTCATAGCGATAAGGTCACCCCTGAGCCTCCTTTTCTCCAGGTTAAACAACCCCAGCTCCTTCAGCTGCTCCTCACAGGACTTGTTCTCCAGACCCTTCACTGGCTCCGTTGCCCTTCTCTGGCTGCGTTCCAGTACCTCAAAGTCTTTCTTGTAGTGAGGAGCCCAAAATTGAACACAGGATTCAAGGCATTGCCTCACCAGTCACTTCCTTCCTCCTGCTGGCCACACTATTTCTGATACAAAGATACTTTTATTCAAAAAGTGTTACTTTGATCCATAAAATACAGCAACTGTATCTGATTGGTCAGATAGTGTAATTGTCAGAGGAGCTGCATTTTTACTGTTGATGAACTGAATAGGTCAGAGGAAGATGCAACCATCAAGCATTTTCTTCCTGAAAAATAAAAATACTTTGAGCCTGTAAGGGTTGGCTTGAATGGATTTTAGCCTTAGTAATAGTGATCTTTAAATCAAAACCTAAGTCCTTCAAACACTTATGCAGATGCTTTAGCATGTGACTAGTACTGTAAATTCAACTTGTGTACTTCAGGTGGAGATGTGTTCATGACTGCTCACAGGTTTGGAGTTTGAAAGTGGATTATGTTTTGTGTGGGGAAGAAAAAAATTCTCTCCTCCTCCTGGCTATACGAAAACTCAATGCAATTATTGCATTAAAGAAGGCATGTAAGCAGGAAAAATTAAGGCAGACATGACTGTCAATGTGCCTATTTGAAATGAGGCAGAAAAATGACAGTAAGAAGCATGTAGGTGGTTACAGGTCCAAAGAAGATTGGAAATGGCTTTAAGCTGCACCGGGGGAGGTTTAGATTGGATAACACGAAAAAATTCTTCACTGAAAGGGTTGTCAAACCCTGGAAGAGGCTGCCCATGGAAGTGGCTGTCTCCCCATATATGGAGGTGATATAAAGATGTGCAGATATGGCCCTTAAGGGCATGGTTTTGTGGTAGACTTGGTAGTGCTGGGTTAATGGTTGGACTCGATGATCCTAAGGGTCTTTTTCAACCCAAATGATTCTATGATTCTAAGAAAACTCTTCCTGTGTCTGTCTGAAGCATGTTTAAGGAGATAAACATGTATTTCTTTCACTAGGATTAATGTCTTTTTCATTACAAAATGGAAAATTACATTACCTGCTATTTACGGTCACCCGAGCATAGTATTTGATTACTTTATAATTTTATATGTTTAATAATAAATGAGAGACATTGAAGATATTTTTAACTAGCAGGAACAAAGATGTGGCAGTAGAATCGCAAACTTGGTTTGCTCTTAAGTGTATGATCTCATTCACTGTTTCAAAAGTGAATTTTTGTGTCCCTCTGCTAGCCCAAAGCCTATTGTTCAGCTGAAAAGACACATTTGAGTATCCTTTTCATATGTGTTATAAAGCAATTTCTAGTGAGAATGCTGAGACCAATGGAGATGAAGTGAATTATTTTGCACAGTGGTTGCCCTGATATCCTGATGCTTTCATTATCCAAGGGCTTTCTGTGTTTGATTCTTGTTACACTGCAAGGCATAATGATGTTGCACTTTCAAGCTTGGATTGGGAATTGGGGTTGGTTTTGTTTTGGTTGTACCACAGATTCATTTTCAGCCTCTAATGTGTAGCTTATCCTTTCCAGAGTTCTGTCTTTTCATATATAAAGTGGAGATTATTGTGCTTTCATGCTATTCCAGTACAAAGCATTTGGAGATTTTTGTCTGGAAAGTGTAACAGACATAAACTGTGATTTTTTTTTAATGTATTGGTTGATCATGCACTTAGTCATTAAGTTTCTGTACATTGTTCCACATTTTGAGCATTGTTTAGCAAAATACATTTTTGTCAGACATTAGGAATATTCATGTTGCAAGGGATAAAGTTCATTATGTGTCAATGTTGCTTTCATGAAAGAAAAGCGTCATTTTGTTACAGTGTGTAAATGAAATTATTAAAAACTCCATAAAACAATTTGTCAAGCTAAGGGAAATGATCGGTAAATGAAATTAAAATAAAACTTTCTTACAAGAGCAAGAAACTGAGTTTAGCTCAATTCCTGTTGTTCTTGCGAAGCCAACCTTACAAAAGTTTTTGGCAATTTTCACCATAGCAACAATAATTAAATAATTAATGTTTCTGTAGCTAATTCACTTTCATAAACACACAACACTGAAAATTCATTGCGTTTTAACATTGCCTTTCAACTTATCATGCTTCATTATGCCTGTGTTTGTTTTTTCTTTGCAGGAAGTCTATTGCTTACAGGAGCAGTGAGCTGCTTGACAAGCTCAAAGCTGCTGGGATTGGAGACAGACCTCTGGTGTGGGTATCCCATAGCATGGGTGGTAAGCATGTTGCCTGTTTGATATAAAGTATTCTGTTGCCTTTAGATCTCAGAATAAGCTGTTAAACAAATTCAGATTGAAATACAATTATTCAGAGTAGTTTATTGAAAAATTTTGCAAAGACCTGAAAATGAAAAACAGATTTCTGTTTTCTTAATGCATTATACTCAATAGCGTGTACCTTTTGAAAGGACTTTTATTGCTGTTTGTTTTTACTCATTGATTTAAAAACTCAGTGAGTTGAAATTCATGTAAATGGAAATCCAGAGGCAAAATTTTCTCCATGATCAGGCATAGAGTAAATGTCATTAGCAACACTTAAACCAAAATTGGATTTGCATCATTCATTGACATTTTATATTAATGCCTTCTCAGGTTTGGTTTGGTTTTTCTTCAGCTTAATCTTACATGTTTGACAATCTAAGGACTAATCAATGAGGCAAGAATATGGTTAGTTGTTTCATGGATAATATAGCATGATAATTATTTTCACAGTGGTTTAAATCCCTGCATTAATTCAGTTTCTGTTGCCAGGTCTTCTAGTGAAAAAGATGCTGGTGGATGCTTCCAAGAATCCAGAAATGGATAAAATTGTAAACAACACCAGAGGAATCATATTTTATAGCGTACCTCACCATGGTTCCCAGCTGGCTGAATATTCTATAAATGCCAGATATCTTCTCTTTCCGTCTGTGGAGGTTAAAGAGCTCAGCAAGGGTACGTTCACTTTGGTACCATCTAACAACAGGGAACTCTGCTAATGTGTTCATGAAGCTTTGTTTTTTCCATCGTGTTGTCAGAAAAAGCTGGGTAGAAACAACAAACCCCTTTTTATGTTTTGGACTGTGTGCTGAATTATTGCAAGTGATTCTGAGTAGCTGTTTCATTTGATTGCAGAGGTGAAGGGAAAAAGGGAAGTCAGAATAAGTTTAAAGAGTAGTTTGGGCCATTCAGCCGAGTAATAATGTGTGCCAGACCTCTTATCTTCCGAACTAATTCTATGCTATGCAGAATTAAACAATTATTGCATGTGGTATCTGGAGAAAAGGGATTACAAACTAAATGCTACTCCCTTTATTGTCATATCAATTTTTCAAAACCAACTCTTTAGCAATGCAGACAAATGCTACAGTCTTATGTTCCAGATAACACTGCAAAAATTATTTTGCTCTTTCTTAGATTCTCCTGCACTTAAAGAGCTGAATGATGAGTTCTTGTCTTTTGCCAAAGAGAAGAAATTTTCAGTGCTGAGTTTTGCAGAAACCTTACCCACACACATAGGCAGCATGTTAAAACTGCATGTTGTACCTTTGGAATCAGCAGGTAAGTCAAATAGCCATTTAATTTATTTAATTTTGTATATATTCATGTAAGCATTGATAATGAGAAAGGGTTATAAATGTTTTGGTAGAAAGACCTAGAAAAATGCATCTGCTATGTTGTGTGGTTTTTTGTTTAAACTTTTGGCTGAGTTTAAACTGCAGTTTCCCTGCTGAGATCAGAAGCAGCTACGTTTAGATCTTAGAATAGCAGTTGTTTGTTTTGGTTTTTCTAAATGCAAGTAACAATTGCTTGATGAAAAAAGCAGGATAAAACCTGGTCTAATGTTATACTGTTGGAGTCCTTTCCTTTGGAATTATGACTAATTGTCATTTATGTTTGTATAGGTAGGCTGAATATGGTAGGTAGGTTTCAGATGCTTCCACAAATTCTAGCTATTTCCTCCTTTAAGAAAGTAAGAAAGAAAATTAGTAAACTGCTAATAGAGAAAAGTATTTACAAAGCTGGTTTTCAACGTTAAGAATCCTTTACCTTCCACATCTCGGATACTCAAGCAGTAGCGTTTTCCTCCCGAAGAGTTTCCTTCATCTTTTTGCCTTTCGTAGGAGGAAGGAGAACCAGACAGTTTTTTCCAATGCTTTTTTGTTGGCATATTTCAGGTTTATTCCAGTCCAGTTTTTAATCTCCACATCAAAACATTTTTGTCAGAAATATGGGCAGTTAGTGGTGATCAGATTCAAGATACGGTGGATTAAACCCTATCCCTGATCGTGTAAATGCTTAAACCTCAGTCACAACCGTGCTGTCAATCAGGTGCTGGTAAATGAAGTTTTGTTTCATCAAAGTTGTCTATGTGAAAAAATGTACATTTGTGTATATCAAACAAAGGTAGTAGAACTCTGACCTAATGGTTTACCATTGGATTTTGTGGCAATGTACAGCTCTGTCTGACCGTAGCAGTGTGCACTGATGTTTCTAGCACGTTAAGAAATAATGAGGACCAAACAGTTACACTGAAGACAGGAGAAATTGCTTTTGAGAGAGAAATTGCTTTTGAGAGAGAAATTGCTAACACAAGATGTGCTTTTCAGTCTAGGTCATCTTATGAACTTCAGTAGTTTTTTCTTTTTTTTTTCCCTCTCCCAGACTTAGGAATTGGAGACCTTATTCCAGTGGATGTTAATCATCTAAATATTTGTAAGCCAAAGAAGAAGGATGCTTTCCTGTACCAACGTACACTGAAGTTCATTCGGGATGTTTTAGCCCAAGAACTTGGAGATTGAGTATTTGCTGTCCTTGGCTATTTGTGCTCTCCGTTTGGTGTGACATGGAAAGTTGTTATTTGTTAGGGGATCTGCAGAACCACACGGGTGCTATGTCAATAGTATCTGCAGCTAAATAATTTTCAGTACATCTCCAACTTAGACACCTCGGCAATTTATTTCTAAAATGACATTCAAAACAAATACAGACTTGGCAAAAAAAAAAAAAAAAGTGTGCCCAGGATATCTTCTTCTAGCAAAAAACCACAAGCTTGCTTTGGAGGCAGGTAGATATACCTAAGGTAAATATACATCTGGGACAAAGTCTTACAGAGACGGATCAGAAACAATTAGCTGAGGTGATTATTTACTGTGAAAAAAAGGCAAAGAAGCTGCTGCAAAATGTTGGTTTAATGTCCATGCTAAGTAGTCTGACTGGAGCCTGGAGAAACAATATCCAAATAAATGAAGGTAGCATTTTGGTTTAGTGGCCCAGTTACAGGAGGTTTTGTCATTTGCCTTTTCATTTAATAGAGTATCCAGTTTTGTTAGCAAATATGGCATCTGTTTTCTGCATGAGAATGAGATGGGTTGGTAGGTTGTCTTGCTTAGACAACTGTTGTGGTTTTTACTTTGTTTGTATTAATGAAAACAAAAGAAAAGAAATATTCACCTTCTTGCACATTTCTCTCCTAATCCTAGCAACGTGTGAGATTACCTTCTTTAGGACAGCATGTCTCTGGTCAGACATGAGGCAGTTCAGTGATTGTTCACAAGGAAGATACAGAACAGAGGCTTAGCTCTTCTTCTTTACTCTTGGGATGTTCTGAGAAGATGGTGTAAGTTCAAATCTCTGGTTCCTGTTTCTCATATAGAACGTTTTCTTTAGCTGATTTAAAGGAGAGCATTGAAAATGCTCAGGTAGATTAAGAAAAATTTAGGCCCTGACAAAAAAAGCTAATGCTTTAGTAGAGAAAAGTAAAGCAGGAGAAAATGTGGGTGATCATAAGGCCCCCCTGGAAATGCAGATCATCCCAGATGTTTTGGTTTCTTGGGGCCCAAGTGTATTTATTGGTGTAGATACAGAGAAAACCAGCAGTGCTGTCTTATTTGAGTTTATGTTTAGGGTACCTTAACAGTACTGATGAGAAATCAGTATTTTTAGACAAAAAAATGGCAGTGCACAGTCACTTTTTGAAGTCTTGGATAGTTTGCACTGTAGTTAAAAGCAACCTGATCTAATTGTGGTCTCTTTCTTTCCTTTTATTACACCCTCAACGCTCTCTGAAAACAAACATAGGCTATGATAAGGCTGTACTGCCTTTGCTGACCACTTGTTAAGTAAGGCCTGTGTTGATGACAGGCCTGGAGTGTCTCCTAGTGTCCCTTATGTGAAGTGGATCTAATGTTACTGGTCCTAAAATTATGGCTATGAAAGCTACCAGAGAGGTGGGATGTGCCTCACGGTTCTGCAGGGGCTTGGTTCTGGTGCCAGTGGGCACTGCAGTCCTGCCAGTCCTGGGGCCACCTCAGCTGTTCCCATTTCAGAGCACTCCAGCCCAGGAAGACACTACATCTTAGGATACGCTTCTGGAAGTTGAGCCTTGACGTGAGTGAGACTGATAGTAAAATTCACGAGAGCAGTACAGAGAATGTACAGCACTACACTGGCAAAAAGAGCATTTCCCCCTCCCCAGCTGAGATGTAGGTAAGAATGCTGCATTGCAGTGTTTCATATGGAAAATGTAACAGACCTGTCGTAATTTCTAAACAGCTTTATCCTTTTTACACTGTGGTTTGACTTCAGAGTGTAAATATATTAGTACACTTTGTATGCACAGAGAAGAGAGTATGTGGAATTCATTGTGAATAGACAAGACTTCTAACAACTGAATGCTTGTTTAGTGTGACAAATCTATTGATTTTAATAGACTTCTTTGGCTTACAGGGATTCAGATCAATGATATTAAACATTAATCTTAGTAAATGCATCTATGTTTTGTTACTGGAACTGGAATTCCTAAATCAATGTTTTGCTTTTTGTAACTATTTATATATGTGTAACTTTTAAAACTAATATTTGGCAGGGGGTTTGTTGGGTTTGGGTTTTTGTTGGGATTTTTTTGGGAATATAGTAATAAAATGTGATTTAAAAATGTCTTAGATACATCACAAAATGTATTAAAGGTTAATGATCTGCCAAATGTATGCTCTGGATCACGTTCACTTTTGTTGAAGTTCTGCGTTATGATTTAGAGATTTTGTCAGGCTGGAACAATGTGATGTTCATCTTTGGTGAGAGGCACAGTACTGGGGGGCAGCTGGTCAGGGATGTTTTGCCACACTGAACACTTTTTCAGTTTTGCTTTTGTATTTTGCAGCAGTGCCTCCTGAAGCATTTACACACATCGGTTCAAAGGCCGGCAGGTCTGTTGCGTAGCATTCGTGTCTGCTTCCCATTGGGAACTTTATGTTTTTTGGTTCCTGGTGTCACATTAATTGAGAGCAGTGCCTTTGTGTAAACTCTTAGATCTCAAACTATGCCCTTAATCCCATCTAGCCCGGGCCCCAGCTGCAGGTGTGGTTAGTGGGTGTGTGTGAGTGGTCTGAGAATATGGTATTTCATCTGCTTTGTGGCATCCAGGAGTAAAACAGTAAGACAGGAAGGGAGGGCTGATAGGGGTTGGTCAGTCCTCTTGCACTTGTTGTCCAGTACTCCTGTATAACTGTATTGGTATTTCTAGTAGCAACAGTCATGGAGTTTTTAATGGCTGTGATTACAGTGGTGTGAACTGGCTTTCACTGTGATTTGTGCTTCGTGGTGCCAGGTGGAGCAGCTGGCAAGAAATGAGAAATATTCCATCTGGTCAAAATGGCAATTCCAGACAAAAAGGAGAAAAGCAAAAATCCTATTTGGTCAGAGTGAAAATTCCAACTAATACCTTGATTTTGGTTCTCTTCCTTTTTGTTTGTTTCTGTGATCACTCACCTGAAAAAGCTAAATCAGACAGTTGCTGTACAAAGGAGAACCACCTCCCCAACCCAAATGTAAATGCAGCAGAGCAAGAAGGATGCTTGCTGCAGCTTGAAGTTGCCGTGTGACGTTAGTGTTAGTCTACTCTTCCCAAAATCTCTCATTAAGTAAACATGCGCACACTTGTATACTTGCACCTGATAATTTATTCATACCTGGCTTCACTGCCAATAGTTTTTAGATTCCCAGGTGCTGGGTTCACGACATGAAAAATGTCATAGAATAGCCATTCCCTACCACCTGTGATATGGCCCTGAAGACTGACAACTGTCAATGACAACAGGGGTTTCCATTGGTAATGTCTGAATGAGGACGAGCAGCAGATCTGAGGACGGAGCTGTGGACATCAGGTAACCATGGTTCGGGTTACTTGGACTCTTTTCTCATGGTGGTGGGGCCTGGCTTAATTTGGAATGAGAAGGAATGAATTGCTGCTTCCCGCAGTCTAGTTTTCTGTGGGGGGTTCCCAAACACAGAGCAAGTCTGGCCCTCCTTTGCTTCTCCTGACCATTTAAACTAGAACCTAGGTCACAAGCACCTGCCTCTGAGAAAACACTTGACTGGGATGTTGGGCACCAGTGTGGAAGATAATTTATTGAGACAGGAGATTCCTCATTCTGCACTGTAACCTTTTCAGCTGGACTGTCTGTCCCTTTCCCTTGATTTGCTGCGATTGAACAGTATATGCTGTCACTGACAGCATAAACCAGCTAGCTGCTGGGATTCATACTTTAATGGGCAGCTTGCCACATACATAGACATAAGATATAATGCTAAAGGCCACATCCGTCTCTTATTCAAGGAGAGTAATAAAGCAGATTTTATTTGACTTGTATAAATCCAGTTTAATTGGCTTTCCTGCTAACACTTTCATTAACATGTAAATTAGCTGTCCTAGAGCTGTTAATTATCTTTGCAGAAAATGTTGGATATGGTCATATAACGTACTCTTTCTTTTTTACTGCTCGTAATGTTTTATGCTGAGATGTGCCCATAAATATTCACTGTATTTTTTTAAAAGGAGGATGAAGAGGCAAAGGCTCTGTGTCATCTTGTAGGGAAACGATTATCTTACTTTAGCATTATTCACCAGCCTGCTGCCACGTTAAACTGACACTCATGTAAGAAGCTTAGCACAGGGTTTTATGGGCTTGGCCTTTGAAGGTTTGGGGGAATTTTTTTAAGTGTCTGGCAAACGAGAGAACAGAGGAGGATGACAGGTACTCAGACAAAGGCAGCATCCTCTCTTGCAGGATGCCTTGTGTTTAAAATTTGGCAGTGGCAGTGAAAAAGGTAGGCATTACAAGGAAGAAAATGGCTGAATTCCCAGTGTCCAGGAAGCTGAGAACAAACCAATTAATTTTCCTATGGGGAAAAAAAAAAAAACCCCCACCCTTTTTAAATGCATATTTCGGAAAAAAAAAATTCCAAACGAGGGTTTTTTTCAGCTTCACCAACTGCTTAAAAATACTCTTCTTCCTTTAATAATAAAAGATCTTGATGCTTCTCTTAACAAGTTACCATGACAAGTTGCAATCTGTTTATCCTTTTTAGCTGCCTGCTTTGCACAAATGGCATTTATCTTGTGCAGTTTTACCCCAAAGGCAAGGCAAAAGCCTGTGCAGCTAGAGTGGGACACATTTAGGTTCCAGGACCAGCTCTTTCCTCATCTGCACTGTGGAAATAAAATACTGACATGGCATTTGCTTATGAAGACACAGAATGGGAACAGGGACAGAACTACTGAATTGCTAAACTGCCTTTAGCATAAGACTTCAATAAGTGACTGGTCTCAACTGTTCACCATATTTCTTCAGGATCTGCATAGACAATATACAAACAGACTCTACTATTTCTTCCAAAAGGGACTGTCATTGTTCAAGTGCTATTTCCCTGCAAAGTATGTTGTCGGACATTGGCTTGTGAACAAAAACTAAGTGAGTTTTGCAACTGTGGTAGAAGACCAACTAGGGCTGATTTTGAGGTCACTGTAGGTCAGAGCAATGTTTTGAGAGGCAGCACAAGCCTTCTGGCATAGCTGAGGCATGTTACTACAGTGTCATGAACAGCACAGCACTTGTGTCTGTTGTAATACAGGGGGTCACTTGCCTGATTTGGCATAAAACAGGCATTTCCTCGTGGTCCCAGGCGCCACCTCTCCTGGTTCTGCTTTATATCCAGGAAGGAGTACACATCGCTCATTTTACTTCCAAAGAGGAATGTGTCTAACAAGGTAAGTGCTGCCAACACAGCC